TGCCGTTTGTAACTTCCTGATCAGCCAGAACAAACCGGTATTGCTTGGCTGCGCGGCCTGGAAGGATCGCTTTAATCTGGAGGATACCTTATTTGCCGGGGCCGTTGCCGCAAGACTAAGAGACCGTTTTGATATTAATTGCGATAGCACAAGAGCTGCCTATACGCTGCACGAGAGCGTGCAGGGGCCTTACCTTGATTTCCTGAAAGACAGCTCACACTACCGCCGCCTGGCCGCTTATGGCCTGGAGGCGGATATGGCTTATTGTACCACCCCGGACCTGCATCCTGTAGTGCCGATTTTAAAAGGTCATGAACTGGTAGTGCACCGCTGATTTTTACCCGATAACGATTACTGAAAGAAGGGATTGGTCGCTTTCTCCTGCCCAATTGTTGTGGCCGGGCCATGTCCCGGATGAACCACGGTATCGTCCGGTAATGTAAACAGCTGTTGACGAATGCTTTCCATCAACACGTCGTGGTTACCGCCTGGCAGGTCTGAGCGCCCGATACTGCCTGCAAAAAGCACATCGCCACCAATCACCCAGCGGTCTTCCTTTGCATAAAATACAATGCTGCCTGGCGAATGGCCGGGTGCCAGCCTTACTTCAATTTCATCATCACCAAGCATTAACGGAACGCCTTCGCTGATGTAGAAATCCGGCTTGGGCGCTGACTTTAGCGGCAGCCCGAATAACATTGCGGAGCCCATCGCATTTTGAAGTACCGGTTCCTCTTTCTGATGCATGGAAAAGGTGAGATTGTATTGATCTACAACCGCCTGTACGCCAAGGATGTGATCGATATGGGCATGGGTATTGATAATGCTTTGCGGCTTCAGGCCCTGTTGCTCAATAAACTGGAACAGCTGGTTTGTCTCCTGATTGTCATACATTCCCGGATCGACAATCCAACAGTCTTTTTTTTCGTTTATAATGAGGTATGTATTTTCGCTGAACGGATTGAATGTGAAGGAGCGTACTTGAAGCATAAGCCGGATTTTTTCAGTAATTTAGAATGCAAACTTAAAGTGCCGCGAGGGGATGGCAACATTTTTTAGCAGGAGTTTTTAATTAAATTGATAAGAATATTCAGGATGTTAA